TAAATTGAAGATATGGTAAAGACGAAGGGTCTTGAGATGTACTTTCAAATTTCGAAATTATTAAATAAACCAAAAACTGTTCAATTATAAATTATAATGACTATGATAAGAGTTGTAAGACTGCAGGCCTGATCTTCAACATCAAGCTGATGCAAAACAGAGAAGTGCAGGTATTGAAGTTCAGACTTTCATCTGTCAAAGCATTGCACCTCTGTGGCACGCTGGCACACACACACACACACACACACACACTAACCCCCAGTTCAGGACACAGAGCCATCTTTGTGGGTCGCCCGGTCCGACAGAGACAGAACAAAGACCCTTGTGTCCGGGGCATCTTCACAGCTGGGGCGTACAGCGAGTTTACCACACTCACAACCAACATTATCTCTCTTTAATGCATCTCTCTCCTTTCTGATTCAGCTTGTCTATTGATTAAACAATTCATTTGCGTTGCATTCAAGTGCCATTTATGTACGGAATGACTGACATTGAATTGTTAGAGAAATAATGCACACCCATAATGCGGCCATGACACGAAGGGGTGCATTATTTTCTAATAATTCAACGGCCGGGACTCAATTATTCACTTATACTGCGGAAAACACACCTCTAAAACATTGTTCGGATGATGTATTTCAAAACATTTTATCAGGTTTTTTGTCCTTGAAACGTTCTTGTGTGTGGGACTAATTTCTTGCGCGTCTCATCCCACGCCTCCGTTGCTGATACCAAAACCTCATTTTAGAGCACTGATAGCAGATTAATGCAGTTATTAATGCAGTTATTACACACACAGAGAGAGAGAGAGAGAGAGGATAGAGAGAGAGAGAGAGAGGAGAGAGGAGAGAGAGAGAGAGATAGAGAGAGAGAGAGAGAGAGAGAGAGAGAGAGAGAGAGAGAGGAGAAGATGAGAGAGAGAGAGGAGAGTGAAAGATTAAGCGTGTGTGAATTACCTGAGTCTGTGGTCTCTCTGTGTTCGACAGCAGCATCTCGACTAATAGTGAAACTGTACGTTTATCTGCTTCAAGAACAGCGGCGTTATTATAGCGCTAGTGAGAAATTCATGTAGCTTTTAAGTTGACCAACTATTTTACTAATTTATTTGAATTTCTCACTAGCGCTATAATAACGGCGCTGTTCTTGAAGCAGATAAACATACAGTTTCACTATTAGTCGAGATGCTGCTGTCGAACACAGAGAGACACAGACTCAGGTAATTCACACACGCTTAATCTTTCACTCTCTCTCTCTCTCTCTCTCTCTCTCTCTCTCTCTCTCTCTCTCTCTCTCTCTCTCCTCCTCTCTCTCTCTCTCATCTCTCTCTTCTCTCTCTCCTCTCTCTCTCTCTAATCTCTCTCTCTCTCTCTCTCTCTATCTCTATCTCTCTCTCTCGGTAATAACTGCATTAATCTGCTATCAGGCTCTAAAATTAGGTTTTGGAATCAGAAACGGAGGCGTGTGGGATGAGATGCGTAAGAAATTAGTCCCACACACAAGAGTGTTTTAAGGAAAAAAACCCTGATAAATGTCTTGAAATATATCATCTGAACAATGTTTAGAGGTGTTGTAACCGTTAGCATAAGGACATTATAATTGACTCCGGTCCGTGGAATAATTAGAAAATGATGCACACCTTCGTGTCGTGGACGCCATTACCACCTCGGGTGTGCATTACGCTTATTTTCAACAATTATTCCGTACACATCACCCAGGGCAGCACTGTCACACACTTTCTTCTGTTCTGGTCTCTCTGATCTACTTCTGTACGTGAGGTTTGTCCGGCTCTCGCCCTGGCAAAACATCAAACAGAAGCCGCATGAAAGCCAGAAGAACACAGAAAAGGTTTTCTGTATGAAAATCCATCCAAACTTTTTTCTGCATCGCCAGCAAAAGATCAAGACAGCAAACTGAAGTCAACAACAACATCAGAATGACCCATTTAGCATTCATTATCTGCAGACATCTTATCATTAAAGCACAAAAGTGAAACTGCAATGTTTGATATTCAGTAATTAACCCTTTAAATGTAAGCAGTCAGAGAGAAAAACATGTCCATCATACATCATATGTGTATTATACGCAATATAAAACAGAAACCTTCAAACCAAAACTGCTTACACTTAGATAGCGGACTAGCTGGAGCAGATACTAGATGATCAAGAAATATTATGGAACATGGAATATTACGGCTGGTCAGCCAGCCCAGTTTAGATAATCTTTCCATGTTCCCAAACACATTTTCCAGCTTAATCTGTGTTTCCCAAAAGATGAACGCTGCATTAGAGCCTTATATAAGGTTTTTATTAATGCTTTGGCATTGTCTTTATCAACCCAATAAAGCTTTTGAATCATGAAGTGAGTCCTGCATGTGACACATAACGCACTCTAACGATGAGCGATCGAATCGTTCTTTCGAGTCGGTTCTTTTTAATGATTCGAATCGTTAGCAAGTCATCCGATCAGCAAAGGCAAAGAAAAACTTTGTTTAGGAGTAAAACCATATGTAATCAACATAACGTAAACCAGGTGAATGAGCAGCATCTAACCCTTTCTTATTCATGGCAAAACACGTTATGTGAATCGGTTCTCTGAGCAGTTCTAGTAAACTAACCGATTCATTAAAACGAATCATTCCTCCACATATATCATATGGCACCTCGGCAAAGAAAGCACGATAACTGCACAAGGTGTTCACGCATTAAAGCGGACAAGAACGAGAGAGAAAAGTATGAAGTCAGTTTGAAATACACGTGCATGAATACTGAGCAGAGAAGCGATGGAGATGCTTTGTGCTTTTCTGAAGTCTCGGGTTTCACAAAGCGAGTCTTCTTCCAGTGACTGCTGCCCTTCCCCCTGCATGCTCAAAACTGCTCTCAAATGTACATTTAATTCGCTCATTACAGGATGCATTTACGTTATGCATTGTGCATGCACTATATTAAATTAACTAGTAACAACTCAAGTCTTTTTTTCCCCTCCTACTGAAAAATATTTGGCATGCCATCCCAGCAATAATTTGGAGTGCACACTGTTTAGCAAGCATGCAAACTGCATTGCATTTTGGTGTGATAGTTTGCCTTGTGTTTGCCATACAGATGTGACTCCCCTTCCCCCTTGAATGCATCAATCTTGAAACCTCAGGGCAGTGAGAAATAAGTCATCTTGTTATGCCTTCAATGCAAACAAACATAAGTTGCATGTAATATGTAATGCTTAAGCATTCAGGATGCCTTCGGCTGCATTATGCAAGTTATTTCACATGCATGCATAATTCAACCCACACCTGTCAACCAGTCCTGAATGGGGCCAAGCACAAGCAGTGTTGGTTTACACTGGCAATGCATCAGCCAGAGAAGATAAATACGAGAAGGAGAAAAAAAATGCAAATGTGAACACTTTATTCCCATTATGCATTTCTCTCATTTTAACAGCAAGGGCCAGAATGCAATCAACAAGCATGCATAAAACGTCATACCTGAATAAATGTAAGTACTTCTTATTATTCCATGTTTTTCCCAGGTATGCGGGTTATTCCTTAAAATATTCCTCTCTGTTCAGTCTCGCGGTGTTCATTGCAGAAATACAGTACTGATATACAGCTGGTTCGGATCCCGTTAAAAAGACTGGAGCTCGGGATCAGTCAACGCTGGAAATGGGATCCACAATGAACATACATGCGTGTGTTCGTCAACAACGATCGGCTTAATTTCCCGTCACAGCATCCAAGAATAGACATATACGAGGCATAAACCCTTATGCATCAAGGTTGTGCTCCTTTTCTGAGGAGAAGCGATGTTCTGGATGTCAGTGTTTGTGACTCCACCCCTCCGACTGCAGATGGTACGTCCCACTTTCTATTGTTGGAGCCACAAACGCTGCAACAAACCGCGCCCCGCCCACAGCGGGATCCCTGATCTGATTGGCCAATGCCATACACAGACCACACCCATCGATCCGATCAGTAATTGCAAATACAAACAACTTGTTTATCAACCAAAACAACTTAAATCTGTTGTATGTGATTTGTTTTGGGAAAAACACACCTACATATTACATGTTTCTACCAGCTGTGATACGAGAAATCTATGGAAGCCACATAAAAAAACAATCATAATTAGTCTATGACATACAAAGTCGAAATTATGACATTCAAAGTCATAATTATGACACCCTTAGACGAAATTTTAATGGAAAAAGTCGAAGTAATGACATGCTAACTCATAATTGTGACATAAACGTCATGAAAACGTCACAATTGTGACATGGAAAGGCATCATTTCTTTTTTTATGTAATAATATCGACCATACTTGCACTTGCACAATCTTCTTATTTTAACCTGTGAAACTTTGCAACATTGCATATTATGTATAAACATTTCCCTTTTTATAGTACATAGTATAAGTGAGTATTAGTAACAAAGACATATTTTATACAACTCTTTATGTGTAGTGAGAATCCGTGTCATCTTAGTATCATTTAGATACTATTCTTTTATATATATATATATATATATATATATATATATATATATATATATATATATATATATATATATATATATATATATATATATATATATATATATATATTGAATTCGTTTTATTTAAATTTTACTTAAAGTTTTAAAATATACCTATTAAGTTTTTATTACTTTTTTTTTAAAATTTTATTTCAACTAACACAATTTTTATGGTTTTGGTTTTAGTTAACTACAATAATAACCCTGGTAATAATAAACTAAAACATAAGCGCATTACACAATGCGCGTGTTCGTCTCAATGCGCGCTCTTGTAAGCTGCTGTTGTCCTAAAAGATACAACATCTAACTTACTGCACTACAACTGCGCCCGCTTTACATTCCATTTCAGATGTATAAAATTAATACGCTTATAATATAATATTAAGTATAGACATGTGTTTTAAGAATATTTTTTAAAAATAAGACTATTTAAGACATTTTTAAACAAATTTTTATCTTTGAGGACCCGCTGACGAAAGACCAACAACATCCAAGATGGCGGCGACAGAGAGCGGCCTCGTTTCGTACGGCAGCGATTCAGACTCTGAAAATGAGTCAGAATCCCGTATTAGTCCGCAGAAAGTCGAACCGGACTCGATCGCACATCTTCAGCCTTTAAAATCCGACAGTATAATGACTTTAGCCCTTCTGAATTCAGCGCCCGAGGTCGCTGTGAAGGTAAACAAGAAACGCGCGGGTCACAGTCACAAACGGAACCTCGGTTGATTTGGAGGAAAATCAGTCGAGTCAAATGTGGTTAAGTTTCGCTGTTCTGATGCCTGGTCGCTTAATAACAGGTGTTTTCTGTTTTTGTCTGTTTCAGGAAGATGTTGAGACCGGTGTACATCTTGATCCAGCACTCAAAGAAGTCACGTACAACCCTACATTTGAAACCATGTTTGCTCCAGAGGTGAATACAGCTGTTTGTCAATATAGATGGAAGCATATTGTGTGTTTCAAATATTATGTGCAATATGTCAGTTGTTTTATATGCCACAGACTCCCAAATATGATTACACTTGTTGTGTCATGAGAAACCCCATGCTAAAGTTATTTATTATGAACGCCTAACGTTAGTTCAGTAAAAATCTAAGTAGTTCCTATTATGTTACATTATTATATATTTTGTTCTACTCACTATAATAGTGTACTGTTGAATCAATTATTTGTGTTTATTTAACTTTGATGCAATTTTAATCATGTTTTTGTGTTTAATTTACTTAATAGACTAATAACTGTTTTATTTGATCACACTTTTATCCACTAATCTAATTTTAATCACATTTACTTACTTTTTACTGTTTTTCTAGACTAGATTTATAGTATAAATCTAAAATGAATGTCTATTAAGTTTCCTCATTATATATATATATTTTTTTTTACTCGCCATTATTGTTATTTGTATTCAATCAATTCTGGTTTAACGGTGCAGGATTCATCAGTGCATGTTGCTGTAAATGTACCTCTAAAAGTCAAAACTTAAATAAGAAAAAATGTAAAAACAATAAATCTGATAATTGTGACTCATTCCTAATAATATTAACCAATGATATAACAGCCTACTTTTCAGAAGCCAGTCAAATCCCCTTTATTAAATCAAAATTTTACATTGTTAATGTACAAAAATGCATTGGGAGGAAAAAACCCATATGATGACCACCATTTTATTAATATTGATAGTCTCCCTCTCGTCCCATTCCAGTTTGGGCCGGTGAACCCGTTCAGGTCGCAGCAGATGGCGGCTCCGAGGAACATGCTGTCGGGTTACGCCGAACCGGCTCACGTCAACGACTTCATGTTCGAGCAGCAGAGGAGAACCTTCTCCACGTTCGGTGAGACTGTTGTATTACACATTTATAAAATGTTACATCTAGGTTAACTTCCAATACTATAGTATATAAACTGACAGGGTGGCCGCGGGTCCTTAAAAAGTATTAATTTCTTAAATTCAGATTCGATGGGTCTTAAATATTTCTGGTCACACTACCGCTAAAATCTCTCCCGTCTGACGGATGTCCCTCAAATAACCAGCGAAGCTTCGACTCGCGAGAATGATTCTGATTTTATCACATAAACAGCGATTGATAATGATGATGTATTTCTGGTAGCGCTGTTGAGACTCGCCCGTCTCTCTCTGAGAGATTTTATAGTGAGAAATCAAAACAAATGAACGGCACACATAAAAAACTCAAAGAAACTCACTGAGGTAAAAATTCACAATGTTGAGTTTATTTATAACATATAGTTAAGTAACATAATGGGAGCTATTTTCCTGGATATTCTCACGATTGCAAATGTTACATTGATTTTAGTTCAATAAACAAGTAGTTACATTACTCCATATGAAATATAATGTGTATTTCCATCACAGGTTTGGTCTTAAATTTCATTCAAAGTGGCATTAAAAAAGTCTTAAATTTAACTTGTTTATATCTGTAGACACTCTGACTGAGAAAGTCGGTGTTGACGTTGTTCAGAAGTAGTGTTGTTACGGTACCAAAATTTCAGTATTCGGTACCAATACCAGTGAAAATCCACGGTTCTCGGTACCAATTTCGGTACCAAAGCTTAATTTAGATAAAATGTACATATATTAAAGTGTATATCACAGTTACAAAGATGGAAACTAGTATTAAAAACACTTTACAATAAGATTCTATTTGTTAGATAACATTATAAAATGACCAAACAATAAACCATAGTTATATACTTTAGCAATTATTCTCCTTGGGGTTAATTTAAAAAATATACTAATACATTTTTTAAAATCAAAAGTTTTATCTGTTAACATTATTTAATGCACAATGAATGAAGTGAACAAACATGAACAATCAAGTGTTTGTATTAAATAACATTCACAAACATTAATTAATGTTGTAAAAATATATTGTTTACTCAATGTGTTGATGTTAACACATTAAGTAATGTTAATGAATGGTATCTTATTGTAGTGTTACCAAACTATATAGGAGATAAAACATGTTTTATTTGACTTAACTGTAGCCTACTTTTATTTAATCCAAAACTGCCAAAAATGTCACTCTTGCCTGTCTTCAAAACTTGAGAACCCTGTAGCTGATTTCTAATGCAAGGGCTAGAAATCAATTAATTCTTTGCTGATACTTCCTCGTCATCACGGAGAGTGCAGTTTGCACCGCTTTCTCCTTCTCTCCACAAGCGCTCGCTCTCGCGTGTCTCCGCTATGCAACCATAAACAGTGACGCGCCTGGAAAAACAAGCTTGCACGTCGCTTCTATTATGAGTGCGCTTCCCGCGCGCCTACATTTGAAATTTGCACGCACAAAAAACGTGCTATGTGAACGGCCCTTTATGGCAACGTGACATTAGCCTAATTCAACATATTTCCATATGTGGCTCTTTCCTCCTTTCGTGTCAACAAGTGGATTCAGAGCCAACGCATTAGCAGCGCCGCCGGTCGCCATGTCTCAGTGTTTTTATGAAGAGGACGCAACTCTGCACCTTTCGGACAGCGCATCAAGAACTGGATTAACCCGGTACTCGGTACCTAGAAAAGCTGGTACCGTAACCGTTAATTTTTTTTAGTACCGACTTGGTACCGAAGTACCGAGTTTTTTGACAACACTATTCAGAAGCAACACCGGTTACATCACTTGCCCACCGATTTATTTTTTTATTTTTAATAAAATCATTTAGTTCAGTTAGAGAACAGAAACTACAATTAAAAACTGAACGTGTCTGCTTGACAAATCGTGAGCTGAACGAGAGCGCCGCAGGAGTCAGATCTCATTCGCCACGAGAGCGAGGAACTGACTGACAAAATGATGAAGGAATATTTGGTGTCAAATCGAAATGTAAAAGCACCTATTTAAGCGAATTTGTCATTGTACTGTTTTTGTTGTTGTTGTTGTGTTTTTCATTATTTTTCAATCCACCCCCGAATTGGCGCTAATTTTATTTATTTATTTATTTAGAAAAGGGACCGTGTACATTAATCAACATTCACGAATGTAAATGTACCCAAATTAGCCCGAAGGCTAGTTTTCATTGGTAGTCCCTTTGCCAGATGTTATTATGCCTAAAACTAGAGAAAAAGGTAAAACATTACAACAATAATAGAACTTGTAAACAACTCTATAAAATACAATTAAACATATTATACAAACAAACGATACAGGTGAAACTCGAAAAATTAGAATAACGTGCAAAAGTTAATTTATTTCAGTAATTCAACTTAAAAGGTGAAACTAATATATTATATAGACTCATTACATGCAAAGTGAGATATTTCAAGCCTTTATTTGTTATAATTGTGATGATTATGGCTTACAGCTTATGAAAACCCCAAAGTCAAAATTAGAATATTGTGAAAAGGTTTTCATATCTGTAAGCCATAATCATCACAATTATAACAAATAAAGGCTTGAAATATCTCACTTTGCATGTAATGAGTCTATATAATATATTAGTTTCACCTTTTAAGTTGAATTACTGAAATAAATTAACTTTTGCACGTTATTCTAATTTTTCGAGTTTCACCTGTATATACACAATAGTGAAATTTGTAAGTGAAACTGAAATGCCATGTTCATTACTATGGAAAACGCTCGCTCCGCACTGTTATGAATACCCGTGCGCATTTTACGTTATAGCCTTCAAATGAGTGATTTAAATCCCCCGCCGGTGTTTCCGGTGTCGTCACACGTCGATTAACAGGTGGAAAACAACCTCACCGTCACATCGCTAGTGAGAGATATAGTAGTAGTAAAAAAATCTTTATTTGTCCCTTTACAGGGCAATTTAAGTAGCTTTAACCTCACAAACATACACTTTCATAAACATACGCCGATCTCGCTTGTGTAGTTCTAGTGCTGCACGATTAATCATATCGCAATTGCGATGTCTATGCGGTATATGACGCAAAAGGCTGCGATTTTATATGAAATAAACAAATGAGGTCTGTTAACGCATTATCTGTTAATTCTTGTCATCCTTTGGCTAGTGTTATGATCCCACTCTCATTCATGTAAATGCTTAAACCATTAATTCGCGTAAATACAGTTCTCTTTCGCAGTTGGACGAACAATAACAGACGATTGTTTTGTCGAGTATCTTCATAACATAAGAGCAGTCGTACGATGGCCGTGAAGAGTTGTGACTCGTGAGAGATCCTCGTCTCTGTCAGCAGCGGCTGCTCTTAAAGAGACAGTACACAGTAGCCACTAATTATCTCTGTCGTTAAAGGGATACTCCAGTTTTTTTGGAAATAGGCTCATTTTACAACTCCCCCAGAGTTAAACTGTTGAGTTTTACGGTTTTTTAATCCATTCAGCCGATCTCCGGTTCTGGCGGTACCACTTTTAGCATAGCTTAGCATACATCATTGAAGTAGTAGAGATGCGCGGTTGGCGGTTACAGCCGCGGACTCCGCGGATAAACGGCGGATCGGGCGGATGACGGGACGAAAAAAAATATTTTAATTAAATTCGGGCGGGTGGCGGGCGGTTGAACCAATCAAATGAAAAATATACATTATTAAATATTGTTATCTGATAGGGGTGTAACGATACACAAACCTGACGGTTCGGTTCGTCCCACGGTTTTGAGGTCTCGGTTCGGTTCGGTTCTTTTATTTTTTATTTAACAGTGCTTTAATGAACAAATTGTGTCCTTGTCTTTAAATTAATTCAATTACAAGTAAACGTTTCTCAAGGATAACAAAATTATCTGCTAATGCTGTAAACTACAGCCCTTACTTGCACATTACTATAACATTAAAGCTTAACAATAGAGCCTAGACTTTTAGCCTAAATGATATAATAATAATCAACACTCAAATAACAAATTGTATGAAAACATGTAAACTACACATAAGGCAATTTTTGCATTAAAATGTTTTTACTCTAATTTGTTATTGTTATATAATAATTTACACCGTTGCTGTTATTTTCATGACAACTATTTTAAACATACATTAAATAATCAAGATATCATAAACAGGTTAAGTAAAATATAATATAAAGGATAATATATAGCATTTATTTAGTGAAAGAGTTAGCAAACCAGCAAGCTGTGGACACTGAATGACTTGCCTGAGGTAAATATAAAGCTATGTGAAAAACTAAGCGTTTTATTGACGCATTTCCGCTGTTGAAACACTGATTGAGTGTTTACACGAGTTATGATGCCTTTCAGTAAGTATACTGTATCTTTCAACATACCTTCGGTTGTCCATTCATGTTTATTCTGTAACTGAGGAAGAGATGATCGCGCTCCGCGCTCCCGCATGCACACAGTGATATCTGTCACGCCACATCTAAGAGCGCCAAAACGGCATTTATTGTTTACATTTCGTGATCAAATAGACATAATTTGAAAGATTACACCTTGCTTATTATCAAAAGTAACAAAACACTGAGCTTATTGCGATTATATGTGGTTAATGGTGGTTAGGCAACAGCCCTGTATTCGTTGTGTACACATAACACATGAGGTGCAATGAGCCGGGGCTGGGCGGGGCAACAGGGGGCGGGGCGTGTTCGGTTCGCCATGAGAGTATCGCGATACGTATCGTGGGTGGTGTATCGCGGTTTTTCGGTTCGGTTCAAATATCGTTACACCCCTATTATCTGACTATACCTACATCCAAAAAATAATAATAAAAAAATCGAGCACACTTTGAAATAGTTAAATTTTCATCAGCTAGTCGAGTCTATGCAGAGACTGCTTGTTGTTATCAGAGATGGCAACGCCGGCGAAGGAGGTAGCTACGTGACAAACTCAAAAAAGGAGAATTAAAAACAAAGGAAATAGAAGGTCAGAAAAGTGTTGCCTGGAATAAGTTGTGCGCTCTCTTGATATGCGCCCGTTCGATATTGTTTCTGGTAAAGGATTCCACCAAGTGGCCAGACGTTGATTGACATTGGAGCTAAGTTCGGTGCTGTTGACGCTGGACGAGCCTGTTCTGAAGACTCCCGTTAACTTTTGAATGCACGGGAAGAGAGCGGAGAGCGCGTCTTTTTCAGGCACAGTGCAATTCATTTTATACCATCAACAGTAGGGATGTAACGATTCACTCATCTCACGATGCGATACGATTCACGATACTGGTTTCACGATACGATTTTCTCACGATTTTTTTAACAAATGCGATTTAAGACAAAAGTGTCCCTTTTATTATTTCTCAGACAAAATGCTGCACATTTCTTTTTAATTTAAAATATATTTCTCAAATAATAAAACTACATTAAAAAAATTCCCTTCAAGGTTGTTTCAACTCAGTCTTTCTGTCTGTTTGGTCAAGAGGCTGGACACTGGTACCTTCGCACACTATGTAAAAGACTGTGTAAAATTAGTAGTACCAGATTGACAGGGGTTTTACATTGTAATAAAGGCAAGATTCTAATTTTGTTATAATTTGTATCATTACACTAGTAAGAGTAAAAAAAAAACACATTTAGAGAAAGAGATAGTAAAATAAATACAACACCTGGTTGCCACGGAAACACTGATGCACCTTGTGATCTCCGTGGCTCTCGCAATTGTAGTATTAATGACTTTTACATGAAAACGGAGGTGACTGGTGTTACTCACGGTGGTGATTATTATTAGTCTACGGAAAGTCAAAATGCCGCCACACCTCCGATTTGAATGAGTCAACGTCAACATCTACGCTTGCCGTCGCCAAAGCCATGTCTACTGTTTGACGGCACGTGCACAGCAGTCTATGGCACACACTGGTGCGGCGCGAGCGGAGCAAACCGAGCGTTTTCAGTTCATTCCTATGGAAGTTGAGCTTGGCTCACACAAGATCAAGTTCCATGAATGAAGTGAAAACACTCGCTAGCTTCACGCCAGTGTGTGCTCGCTGCTATTGTGCTATTGTAAAGCGAGGTTCACAACTTCACAGTAGGCTATAGTAAACGCGCCCTGCTGTTTAAAACGTGTATCGCGATTCGTTTAACATTTCAACCGACTTGAATCGTCACACATTTTTATCGATTTTCAACCGGTTGCGAGTGAATCGTTACATCCCTAATCAACAGGCCTAACAATCATATAATAAACTATAGAGCCTCGATATTAAAGAAATGCCGAAGTCACTATAGGCTTTTTCGTTGGTGCGCCATCAGCTATGCCTACAAAAGACAGATGAAATCTAATATTAATAATTGATCCATGTCGGTATACACAGCCTAATATTTTATAATGAAAAATAGCCTACACAGTCAATATAGGCTAGACTATTTACTTTTTAGCCTATTTATTAAATACAGAAAATTGGTTAATGAAACATGGATTATGAAGATACAATTAATACAAAACGAAATTCGCTTTGAAGAAAGGGTTTGTGCTTTTTTGAGGCCTCTGTGAAAGTTTGAAAGTCTTTTAGTGCCGCTTTCTGAGTGTTCGCGTCCGTAATGGAGAACTGTCACGCAACATTGTTGGCGCCCCATACAATAGCAGCATGTTGAAATTATGTGCCAAAATGCGTTTTCTATGAGGCTACAATGGAAATATTGTACAGTAGCCTATCAGATAAGGTCAGGTTTGCCGAAGTGCGTTCAATTTAGGCTATTTATTTGTGTCCCTGCGTGCCGATCGGAGAGGAGTTCACTGCTAATATTCTGAGAGCTTTCTAGTCTCGCGGCTGTCATCAGCAGCGCCTTGTATCGGCCAATCAGCGGATGGCGGGCGGGTGCGGTTTTGAAAATTGGTCAAAAACGTTGGTGCGGATGGATGGCGGACGGATGATGAGTTTTGTGATGCGGTTGCGGATGAAATAATAGCCCATCCGCGCATCTCTATGAAGTAGACAAGACCATTAGCATTTCTAAAAAAAAAATGACCAAAGTGTTTGGATATTTTTCCTATTTAAAACTTGACTCTTCTGTGGTTACATCGTGCACTAAGACCGACGGAAAATGTAAAGTTGCGATTTTCTAGGCTGATATGGCTAGGAACTATACTCTCATTCCTGCGTAATAATCAAGAAACTTCACTGCCGTACCATGAGTGCAGCAGGCGTAATGATATGACGCAGCGCCTGAAAATAGTCCCCAGCTCGGTAACTTCCAACGTGACCGGGACTAAGTGCCTACGCCTGCTGCTCTCATGGTACGGCAGTGACGTTTCTTGATTATTACGCAGGAATGAGAGTATAGTTCCTAGCCATATCAGCCTAGAAAAACGCAACTTTACATTTTCCGTCGGTCTTAGCGCACGATGTAACCACAGAAGAGTCAAGTTTTAAATAGGAAAAATATCGAAACTCTTTGGTCATTTATTTTTGAGAAATGCTAATGGTCTTGTCCACTTCAATGATGTATGCTAAGCTATGCTAAAAGTGGTACCGCCAGAACCGGAGATCGGCTGAATGGATTCAAAAACGGTAAAACTCAACAGTTTAACTCTGGGGGAGTTGTAAAATGAGCCTATTTCCAAAAAAAGTGGAGTATCCCTTTAAGAGTTTCTTTAGCAGAGGAGAGATGGCAGAAAGACGAAGAGGGAGAAGAAATGTCCTGTTAGACAGGAATGCCCAGACATTTTTATCCAGACACCAATGGCGTATTGATCATTATAGGTGTTATCAATCATTTTGTTGTTGTTGCTAGTTTGAGTTGAAAAATACACATTTGAGCATTATCACTAATCTGTGTGTGCATTTTGCTTTAGAACCAAGCAAGTTGACTCATGAAACCATTTGTTTATTATATCGCAATATGACATCTTCCCCAAATCGTGCAGCCCTAGTAGCTTCCGTATTCATGCCATAGAATGAAAGCAAACGTGTGTGTGTGTGTGTGTGTGTGTGTGGTTGCTGGGTCAGGGTACGCTCTGGACCCGTCGGTGGACACCAGTCAGGTCTCGTCCAGCTGCTACATCGGAGCCATAGAAGAAGCCGAGAAAAACAAAGGTGAGATTCACGTCATGTTTACGCAATTGTAATGAAAATTGTGTCATACAATCAACTCTGGTTTAACGATGCAGGATTCATCAGTGCATGTACCTCTAATAGTCAAAACTTAAAACATTATTATATATTTTGTTCTACTCACTATAGTAGTGTACTGTTTAATCAAGTGTGTTTATTTAACTTTGATGCAATTTTAATAAAAATTTTTTTTGTTTAATTTACTTAATAGATTAATAACTAATGTTTTATTTGATTACATTTGTATCCACTTATTTTAATCAAATTTACTTACATTTTACAGTTTTTATAGTATAAATCTAAAATGAATGTCTATTAAGTTTCCTCATTATTTATAGTTTTTCTACTCACTATATTAATGTACCGTTATTTGTATTTGCTGTAAATGTACCTCTAAAAGTCAAAACTTAAATAAGAAAAAATGTAAAAACATTAAATCTGATCATTGTGACTCATTCCTAATAATATTAACCAATAATATAACAGCCTACTTTTCAGAAGCCAGTCAAATCCCCTTTATTAAATCAAAGTTTTACATTGTTAATGTCCAAAAATGCATAAAAAAAAAATAAAAAAAAAAGTGGGTATGTTATTGACAATACATAAAAAAATTAACTAAAATAGTATCTCTACCGTTAAATAGAATAGCATTAGAGAAAAAAACCATAATAATGAATATATTATTTATATTAAATAAATACAGAATATTCGTGTATATAATGCTTTTTTTATATATAAATAAACCAGTAAAATAACAAAATTATTTAACAATCGGTTACATCTTGACAGCACTTTTCTTTTATGCCAAATTAGTTTTTAATAACTCCATGCATTCTTGCCACCAATAATCCCATGTTCACTTCTCTGAGGATTAGGGATGCGCTGATATGAACATTTTGGCCGATACTGTTAATTCTTTATATTTGAAAGCCGATATATTGGCCAATTAATCTTAATCCAAATTTTCATATAATTTTTGTGAACCTGTTTATAAGAATAAAGTCTCACCATTAAAAGCCATGACCTGAACACACAGTTATAATGTTCTCATTATAATTTTATGCAGCCGATATGACAGATTTGCACTTTTTTCCTTTTTCGAAGTGATTCCGATCATATTTCAAGCAATTCAAAAGCATAATATTGAAGTTTCTCAGTGGAAGGAAATAATCCTTTATTTATCGGCTTTAATATATCGGCCAAATTTTCTTATCAGGCCGATAACATTAAAAATAAACATTTATCATGCATCTCCACTTTGGGAAAAAATATAGAGCTGGTCTTCATTTTATCCTATGTTGTTTTGCTGATCATTAAATGTGCCGTTTCATGTTCGATCTGTCGTTCCTGCTCATGATTAATGCTGTTATTGCTAGGGCTGACGGTGTTTGAGACGGGACCGAAGAAGTCTGAGAAGAGGAGGAAGGTGAAAGGAGGAGATGCGTCGGATATCGACTGCTTTCTGGGCCCTTGGGCGAAATACCAGGATGAGAAAGACGTGGCCAAACCCTCTGAGGTGAGACGGGGTTCCACGTGTTCAATTTAGGATAAGTAGGGCTGTCACTTTTGTGAAAAAATCCTGATCGATTTTTGAGACATAAGTGTTCATTGAATCTATTTTTCATGTCTAAAGACGTTTCCATTTCCAACACCAAATACAGGCAAATCCACGGACACCTAACAGGCGTTAGGACGAGCGTAAAGAGGCGCTTGAGACGCACAAGTCAGCGATATTCCTGATGATTTACTGGCGTGAAGTTTCAGCACAATGACAAACAGAAGCGCAACATTCAGGGATTGAGATTAACACCTCGACCCGCCAGATGCGCGTACAAATGAGCTTTGGCGGGAAACGCTGTCCAATCACGAGCCAATCTGGCGTTTCTGTGTTTACTCACTTTGCTGGGGAAGTTCGTGTAAGACAAATCTGCGCGGATTTAGCGCAAATACGCAACTCGTGATCCTCATGATATATTAAACACAGCGTATCGCAGAATCTGCACATTTCTGGCTTACTTGAACACACACACACACACGTCACTACGCTACACATAACGGCGTGCTTGTTCACTTGCAAGTTCGGTATTTTACATTCAAAGCCCGGTTTCAAGATCGTTTCTGATGAAATAGAACGGTTAAGATTAAAATGTGGACACATGCTGCTGTCCCGAGAAATTCGGTTTCTTCCTAAAACGCATTAAACTTTAGTTTACAAAGACGTGAAACTCACCGAGTGGTCTGGGCTGTTCACTAATATGCTCACACAAAAATCACTGCAAAAGATGCTTTCCAACAGGTTTTATCGTAGTTCAAGTCAAATGGAGATATATATATATATGAAGAGTTTGGTTCCTAAACGCAATAAATCCATTTAGATTAATTTGAGTAAAAGTGTGTTTTCTTTACCAAGAAAGTGGAAAGATGAAAACCACTATTTTCTGTTTCAAACTTTCACATAGCATTTGTAGGTCATAATAACAAAAAAAATTAAAATCCAGGTTTTGATTTTCAAAGATTTATTATAAAAACGGATTATTTTTTCCCCCAAAATGCAATAAATCCATATTTTTTTTAAATCAACATGCAATTAATCCATTGAATCAATATAAAAGTTTTTTTTTTTCATATTGAAACTGTTGAAAATACACAACAACGTAAGTTTATTAGTCTAATATTTTTATTAAGAACTGTAAAGAAGATTGAAAACATTTTTCCTCCTCCCGAGTGCCTGATCTTCTTAATCTCCTCCCGTAAATGATTCGATTTCGATGCCTTACGTTTCTCACCCACCGCAGAAACAACCACAGGTTCATCAATGCCCGCAATATTATTCATTTTTTTGTTTGTTTGTTGATCGAAAAGTACAAAATAGATTAGAAAAACTAGGAAGCCGGGTGTATTTAAGGTGCTTCCGTTACTGTTTACATTGCGTGGAATGGTGCGTTGTGATTGGTTGAGAGTGGAATGGTGCGTTGTGATTGGTTGAGAGTGGAATGGTGCGTTGTGATTGGTTGAGAGCGGATATATCGCGTTCTGCAGAGAAGGGAGACTGGCGTTTGTCGCGGTTTGGAAAGAAAGGGAGAAAACATGACAGAATAACACGGCGGATATCGCATTTTACTTAAAATTAAACATTGACTTTTCAATACCAACCAGATACAATACTGACTTTTGCAGTAACTAATAAAAAATAAAAAAAGGCTTTTATCGTGTTTTGGAACCAAACTCTTCATATATATATATATACACAATATCGATCTATAGTTAAAAAACGAGTCAAATTCACCTTTAATGTGTGTAATTCTAGACTAACCTTTCTCATGTTCATCATGTTCATGTTTCATCATGTTTTACTGACAGGATGAGCAGAAAGAGCTGGACGAGATCACAGCCAAGAGACAGAAGAGAGGCAAGAACGAAGAAGAAGCTCCAGCGGAGGAGAAGACCATCCTTCACAGTACGACACCGCAACACACACTCTATAACACAACACACACTCCATTAAGCGTGTGCTGGATCTGCTCTTACACCCCGTGTCTCTCTCACTGCAGTTAAAGACGCGTACGATTACCAGGGCCGCTCGTACCTGCACATTCCCCAGGACGTGGGCATCAACCTGCGCTCGCCAGACATCCCGGACAAATGCTACCTTCCCAAGAAACAGCTGCACGTGTGGACCGGACACACTAAGGTGAACCAGCGTCTGTGTGTGTGTGTAGACTAGAGCTTAAAGGGAGAGTTCACCCAAACATGTAAACTCTGTCAGTAATGACTCTCCCTCGTGTTGTTCAACCCCGTCAGACTTTCCTTCATCTTCGGGACACAAATGAAGATATTTGTGATTAAATCTGAGAGCTGTCTCACTCCTCCATAGGCTTCTATTGTAATTGAAACTTGGCGGAACAGAAAGTTATTAAAGACATCGTTAAAATAGTCCGAGTGACGACAGCGGCTCAACCTTAACTCTTTAGGCGCCAGAGGTTTTTTCGATTTTGACATCTTAATTTCAAAAGGCTATATCTTAAAAGTGATAAAAGATAGAGACTTTCTGTAAATTAGAGAAATATTAAGGATGACCCAAAGTTTATGTAGGGGTTACATTTTCCCATCTAATTTGCATATTTTGACGTCATATGGCGGCGGCAATCTTGGATTATAGAATTTTCATGAAAAGTCACATGTTTAAATGATAAAATGCAGCACTTCTTTCCCCCCAAAATGTCCCTCACCTTCTGTATGCTATATTGCACAATACTGAATGCTCAGGTATATAGTAAGTAGTAGGGATGTCACGGTACCAAAATTCCGGTAGTCGGTATCGATACCATTAAAATTTTACGGTTCTCGGTACCAATTTCGGTACCACAGCAAAATCAGTTTGAACTATTTTTCCAATTTAACTATTTGAAAAAAAATATTCAATTCAATGACTTTATTATTTATGACGGTAAATGTATGAAAGCATTGAAGGCTACATGCTGATTAAACGAAAATATTGATGATATTGAGAAATATTGCTTATAAAAAGTAGTAGTAGTAGTATTTTTAATTAATGGAGATGTAGTTAAATCTATTGTACAGTAGCCTAATATAATTATTTCTGTCAATTTCTTTAAGTTAAACCGAACTTTTATTTTGACGGGTTGCCGTGAAGACCTTTGAGTTTCTGTGCGTGTGTGATATGACGATAGTTTTTCTCAAATGAAACGGTAAAATGCTCATGAAGTGACTCTCGGAGATGAATCGAATCATGAATCATGTCATCATATCGTGAGGCAGCAGAGACTGAAAACAGCGCGAGCGTCACTCGTGCTTCAGTGTGTGTGTGTGTGTGTGTGTGTGTGAGGTAACGTTAAATGAAACCGCGCGTCTGCGCCGTTCATTCACACAGAGACAAGCAGAACATGCAGGGTCTTTTTGCAGTTTAATATACACAGACACCACATCAGCAGCGCCGCCGGTCGCCATGTCTCGGCGCTTTCATGAAGAGGACGCACTTCACGCCCTTCGTGCATGCACATCCAGAACCGGGTTTGACAGGGTACTCGGTACCACCGGTACTTGGTACCGTGACGTTTAAATTTTTTTAGTACCGACTTGGTACCGAAGTACTGAATATTTTGACTACACTAGTAAGTAGTAAACAAACTGTGTAAATCATTACGAATAAATGGTAGAAACAAACCCGAATGCATGTAGCGGTTGGCCTTTTGCTGTAGAGATTTTCCATTTACTAAATACAGTAGGCACTCTGATTCCATGTATGGGGCACATATATATTATTCATATGACACACAAACACAAGTAGACAAGACCTGTTTAGTTCAAACGCTCACTCGCGACGGCAAGGCCCAGATCATGAGTGAGATGATACGAGTGTGCACAGCTCGGACTGCTGTCATTGTCATCGCGACTCCTCACCCTGGCTCCACGTCGCCCCCTAACTGTCCTATGCATACCTCGACCTCGTCTAACATACCCAGTGGCATTAGACAAAGTCTCCACCACAATACTGTCGCCGCGACCGCGGAGAGGCTCTGATAAAACGGCTCACTCGCACACTAGCTCCGCTTTTGTTCGCACTGATTCAATGCGCTCCAACTCGAACATTTTGTATAGAAGCATGACGTTTTTTAGTCGGGGATGAAGTATGACATGTCTGCCATCCAGTGGAGGGGAGGTCGAACGAAATTTGACACCCAATTTGACAAAATCGGCCGTTTTATTCAGTGCCGCATCTTGTCGAGTAAACTCGACCGTGGCGCCTAGAGGGTTAAGTTTATCAAGCGACGAGAATACTTTCTGTGCGCAAAAAACACACAAAATAACGACTTTATTCAACTCTTCATCTTCTTCTCTGTGGGCCTCGAGTGAGTTCTCGTAGTGTAACAGCGCAGCGCTTCTGTACGTCACACACAGGCTCACTATTGGCCGACGCTGGTCGTGTGTGTGTGTGTAACCTATTGTTGGAACAACGTGAGGGAGAGTAATTACTGACAGAGTTTTCATTTTTGGGTGAACTATCCCTTTAATGCTGATTTTGGTAACACTTTACAATAAGGTTCATTAGTTAACATGAACAATACCACTTCAGCATTTATTAATCTTAGTTATTATTAGGTTCAACATTTACTAATACGTTATTAAAATCAAAGGTTGTGTTTGTTAACATTAGTTAAACTAACATTAACAAAGATTAACTAATACAGTTACACATGTATTGCTCATGGTCAACTACATAAATTACTAATACATTAAACACACTGTAAAAAAAATAAAAGTTGCTGCCTTAATATTTTAAGTACAATAAACTTGTATGTTTAAGTCATTTCAACTTAAATGACATTAAACTGACTTTAAAAATTGAGTGTAATATTGTATAACTTATAAAAAAGTTGAAAATTGCTTAATTTATTTTGATGAGTTAAAGCAATGTTATGTACATATGTTGTCATAACTTATTAATCATATTTTTTTTACAGTGTAATGTTAGCTAATGAAACTTATTATATTTGAACAATTCTGATTGCAATTTTGATTCTGCTTATCGATTCCTAATTTCGATTCCAATAAGGTAAAAATAAAACCTTAGATATCATTCATATTTAGTGTTATTGCATAACATGTAATTGCAGCTGAATATGAACAGAAATCATCATCAGGCTGAAGAACACTTACACAAGGAGCGTTTGCCTGTGGTTAAAAAACACCACAGAAGAACAACTAGCCGAACTAATATACATGTCAAGCATTATTAAAGACAATAAACACTCAGTAATTTAAAAAGAACAAATATAGAATTAGCAAATGCAACAAATAGACACAACTGAACAAAGATACGATTAACACTGCAGTTTATAAATAAAATATACATTACAGATATAGTAATGATACAAAAGATCTTCAGTGAAGAACGAGTGAGTTTTCTGTCTTCTGTCGTGTGATTAGTGTTATTATAGAGACGGCAGGAATATTAGGCTACTGTCACTTTAAGAGCCGCACGGATCCGATACACACGAGCACAGAGAACAGAGTCTCTCTCGCTTCAGTGGTTTAAAGTCATGATGAAATACTCAAAGGAATCGATAACAGGAATTGAAATGTTTATTTTATAACATGTATCTGATTCAACCCTAATTGTCTGGTATGGTTTGGTGTGTTCACACACACACTGTCTCTGGTGTCTCAGGGCGTCAGTGCGATCCGCCTGTTCCCGGCGTCGGGGCATCTGCTGCTGTCCTGCTCCATGGACTGCAAGATCAAGGTGTGTGTGTGTGTGTGTGTGTGTGTGTGTGTGTGTGTGTGTGTGTGTGTGTGTGTGTGTGTGTGTGTGTGTGTGTGTGTGTGTGTGTGTGTGTGTGTGTGTGTGGAAACGAGTGGGTAGTTGAAAGGTCAAGTGTTGTGCAAAACTGCTCTACACTCCAGCTAACATTTTTTTTTTCTAATGCTTGAATACTAGTTATAACAACAACAATAATAGTTATTGATAATAATAATACATAACAATATATGTATTTTTTTATAATAATATAATAATTAATAATAATAATACTAATAATTATTATTATATAGAAATATAAGAAATTAAAACAGTCTGTTAAAATAAAACAAATAATAATAATTCTTATTATGCAACAACAATAATAATTTAAAAACCGTCTGTTAGAATATTATATTTTTCATTAATATAATAATTCAATTGAATAATTATTATTATACAAAATACAAGGATTCAAAACAAACTAAAACAAAAGTATTATTATTTTGCAACAAGAATTAATATAAAATTATAGAATATTAGTATAATTAATATTAATATAATAACTTGAATACTTATGTTTTTTCAATATAATAATACATATAATAAAAACGTAATTATTATTAATATTTTATAGTTATAATTATACAAAATACAATAATTTAAAACAGTCTGTTAAAATAAAAACAAAATAATAATACTTATTGTGCAACAATAATAATTGAAAACAGTCTTTTAGAATATTATAATATTAATAATAAAATTATTATAAATATATTATATTACTATGATTATAATAATTGTAATAAAAATAACAATTATCATTTATTAATAGAATAATAATATAACATAATAATAATAAATAACTATTATTATTAATAATAATAGAATAATATTAATATAATTATTATACAAAATGCAAACATTTTAAACGGTACCGGTATGTTAAATTAAAAACAAAATAATATCTAACAATACTAATTTAAAACAGTCTGTTCGAATATTAAAATATTAAATTCATATTAAAAGTATTTTTAATAGCTTATATTAATATAATAATAATTATAATCATCATGCAAAATACTAGAATTTAAAACAGTCTATTCCAGTACAACTGTATAATAATAATTATGGCATTAATTATTATTGAAATGTCAATTATTATTATTATTATTGTGCAAGTAATTTATATGACCTTATGTAAATGTATGAAAAGTGCTTTACAAATATATTTAAATGAAGTGTTAATAGAGACCCAGATGGACTGTTTTACTTCTTATCTCCTGATTCTTTAAACGAACGGACATAAAGCATCAAATGTGTCTTAAAGATGATGGTCTTGTATGTTAATTATCATTTAATTATGATGAGGAGTTTGTGCCATGATCTGTGTGTGCTGATGCTGTTTCTGTCTCTGCTGTAGTTGTGGGAGGTGTATAACGAGAGGAGATGTGCGCGGACGTTTATAGGTGAGTGTGTGTGTGTGTGTGTGTTATCTCTTCTAGTCTGGAAGACTCACACACGAGCTCTCAGCGCTGTCGTGATTGGCTGATGTGCTGTAATTACTCTGAGACGTGATTAATGGAGTGAGTCGCAGGATTCTCCAGTGTCTCGACTCGTTCATCAAGCGCTGTCGAAAGATCACAGAGCCCGACTCATTCAGATTCATGAGTTAAAGGATGTTTTAACTCGCCTTTCTGGACACAATCAGAAAATTAGCTTTTCTTTTTTCTAATTATTGAATAATAATAATAATAATAATAATAATTAAAATCATATTTAGTAATATCAATAATAATAATAAGTATTATTATATAAGAATTTTACAAATGCAGAGTTAAACAGCATAATAACAATAATCATAATACAAATTATAGTATTTTATATGAATTATATTAATATTATATTATTCTAAAAGACTTATTTTTGCATAATTTGTTTTTTTATTTGTAAATATTTTTTTGAATGAATAATAATAATTATTAATTGTATTAATATATATAATTTAAATATGGAGAATAAAACTAATGATTAATTATACAATCATTTAAAACAGTCTGTTAGGATAACATATTATTAATGTAATTAATAAAACAGTATTATAATAATAATCATTATTATGATGTTATTATCTTTTTTCTTCTGACTGTTTAAAAAAAATTCTAATACTTATTTATTAATAATAATAATGTAAAATACAATGATTGAAAATAATCTGTTAGAGTAATATAATATTAATATAAAACATTATTATAATAATTTATTATCGTTGTTGTTATACTGTTTATTATAATGTTTTACAGTTTTAAACATTTTCTGATTCTTATTTTTAAATTCTTATATAATAATCCGTATATATCATTAATAATATCAGTATTAATATAATAATAATAATGATTATTATGCAAAAATACAACAATTTAAAACTGTTAGAATAATATAATTTTATTATAATTACAAATATTTTTAATATAACATGAAAATGATATTAATGTATTATCATTGTTGTTATACTGATTTACTCTGACGTTTTTAAACAATTTTTAATTAATAATAATAATAATAATTGTCAATAAATATAATTATGATTAATAAATAAGTATTACTATGTCAACAATAATTATTATAATAATGAATTATTATTACAATATATATTTTTATGCCGTAAACGTGTGAGTTGGTAGAACATGTAGAGCATAAAAGTGACTGTAGATGCTGGTCGCTAACGGCGGCTGTCACTCGTCTCCGTGGGTTACTGATATCGCCATGGCTACAGTTGCCGGGCTGGTAGAAAGCGTTGACCAGGACAAGTCCATCTAGACAGGCTTGAGACGCTCTCTGTGTGTGTCTCGCTTCTCAGAGCACATGTCATATATACTGTGTAATCTTTGAGTGTGTGTGTGTGTGTGTAGGTCACAGTAAAGCGGTGCGTGACGTCTGCTTCAACAACACCGGCACACAGTTCCTCAGCGCCGCCTACGACAGATACATCAAACTCTGGGATACCGAGACCGGTGAGAGTTACACACACACACACACACACCAACAGGATTCAAGACTGGAAGCTGGACTGTGTGACGCTACTTTCTTCTGGAAACAAACTTTGCTGCATTATTGTCCTGTTATCTCTGTAAAGCTGCTTTGAAACACTCGTATTGTATAAAGCGCTGTGTAAATAAAGCTGCCTAGTGTTTGTGGATCCTCACTCGCGCTGGAGCTCACAGTGAGTGACACTAGCCTGTCCTCTCTCAGGGAAGTGCATCGCTCCCTTCACCAACAAGAAGGTTCCCTACTGCGTGAAGTTCA